AGACACACCCAGTGGATGAAAAAAACCACCATGAAATTAGGCCGTCAAGGCACATTTCACATGTCCAAACAACACACATGTCCAAATAATGATGATAGTCGAAGGATATATTCCTTAAATTTTAGCACAACTTAAATCCGGATTCCTTTTGTATTTATAATTCTTCATTAATTCGTCTTCATACTTTAACTAAGGAATTCCCCCAGCCAACACCATAATAAAACATTTTCCTTCACTGTAAGAAAAAGAATTAAAATATTGAAAATTCCACGATAGTAATGTAAAGAGAAAAAATGTAGAGAATATAACTCCACGAACACAACCACAGTGCCAGTGGTATTGTAAACCATCCTTGAGTATAAAATCAAATTAGGTGTAAACGAGTAAAAATCTCTAGGCAATAACCACCAAACAACAAGAACTTCTATAGGAGTTTTCATTGCTTTTAAATATGTGAAAGTAGCAATGTGTGAATATCCTTAGCACAAGATGATTTTCTGCTTAAAGGGATCAACATGTCAGTCGGTAGAGGAAAAAAACTGCAGAATGGAAAAAAGAAGAACAGCAGACAAAAAACCACAACGAAAAAGATGGAAAAAAAACTAAGAAAAAATATAATGAATAATTTATTATAGTTGGCAAGCTTTTACGGGAAATTAAAGTTTTGTGGATTACACAACTAAAAACCAAACCAAACATATAACTAACCAACGCCCTCAGTGAATCTCTAGTCTTTTTTATGTTTCTCATGTTTTTCCCTTGGAATAAGGAATTCCATATAAATACATAAAATGAAAAATATAAAATCAAAATGCAATAAAAAACAGCTTGTTGAATGTTTCCTTTTTTTGTATTTTTTTAGATAATGGAACATGAAATTGTTAAAAAATTTAGTTATACACTTTTGAGATTTTATGTGTTCTATTTTTGTCTATCAATAACCTATCGAACTCTCATATTCATAACCATTTTTTCACTACTCTATTCACACTCATCTTTATAACCATTACACTTCATCAATCTGTAAAATTAAAGTTAAAAAAACTAAATTGTTCATGTACGATTATAAACTCTTACAACCGGAAATTTTTACCAGCATTGTCTATTACAATATTGACTTTTTCTTTCCTTCTGCACAGCGAATTCATAAATGTTTTTGGCGGCAGTTCTTTTAATGAATGTAAACTTTTGAGATAAAAACCGTCATGCAGTTCTTAATGCTTAGAGTTTGTGTTGTGGCCTTCGGATAGTTTCGATATTAGTGTTCTAGTCTGATAAACCGGAGGTGGTGTGTTCGTTCCTAACCTAAGGCACAGGTTAAGGAGCGCATAACAGGCCCGATAGAGGGCTAGGTGTATTTCTTCGAATTTGATAACTGACTGACTAACTAACTAACTAACTAACTAACTAACTAACTAACTAACTAACTAACTAACTAACTAACTAACTAACTAACTAACTAACTAACTAACTAACTAACTAACTAACTAACTAACTAACTAACTAACTAACTAACTAACTAACTAACTAACTAACTAACTAACTAACTAACTAACTAACTAACTAACTAACTAACTACTAACTAACTAACTAACTAACTAACTAACTAACTAACTAACTAACTAACTAACTAACTAACTAACTAACTAACTAACTAACTAACTAACTAACTAACTAACTAACTAACTAACTAACTAACTAACTAACTAACTAACTAACTAACTACTAACTAACTAACTAACTAACTAACTAACTAACTAACTAACTAACTAACTACTAACTAACTAACTAACTAACTAACTAACTAACTAACTAACTACTAACTAACTAACTAACTAACTAACTAACTAACTAACTAACTAACTAACTAACTAACTAACTAACTAACTAACTAACTAACTAACTAACTAACTAACTAACTAACTAACTAACTAACTAACTAACTAACTAACTAACTAACTAACTAACTAACTAACTAACTAACTAACTAACTAACTAACTAACTAACTAACTAACTAACTACTAACTAACTAACTAACTAACTAACTAACTACTAACTAACAACTAACAAACTAACTAACTAACTAACTAACTAACTAACTAACTAACTAACTAACTAACTAACTAACAAACTAACTAACTAACTAACTAACTAACTAACTAACTAACTAACTAACTAACTAACTAACTAACTAACTAACTAACTAACTAACTAACTAACTAACTAACTAACTAACTAACTAACTACCTAACTAACTAACTAACTAACTAACTAATTTCTGGGTTTAAAAACATAAAATAGTCTTTTAAACTTCTGTTTCAACACATTATATACAGTCAAGTGAATTCATCTCATGACTTACAGCATACATCGATTTCCGAGTATTCAATTTTTCACTTTACACACAGTTGATTTATCGGCTCACATTTTTCTGCTGACACGTTAAGGGTGCCTCGTTTCAACTTCACATTCATAGTCGAACGAAAACACACATGAAGACAAAGCAGACTATATTTCTGTACCCGGCAGTTTTGCAAGGAGTTAAGGGATTCCTCTTAAACAGTCTAACAACTTTATTTTAAATATGTATATGTTTTAAAGACATATCTACTCTTTAATATCTCCAAATTAACTAGAAAGTAGTCATAGTCAATTTGCTATTTGTAATCGAAAAAATTAACTGGCCGTCTTCGCTAACAACAAATAGTATGTATATAAAATCATTAGTTCGAGAAAACCACCCGATTCTGCAGGGTATTCTGTGAGACTCTATAAGTAAGCTAAAAAAAATAGACGTCAAGTGAAAGGAAATAAAAAATTGTTTTCTTGTAAACGATAAACTTCAAATCAAATTAACAAGCATCGCAAATAAGGTTAATTTTTATTACTCAGATACAGATACAGTTATATACAATACACTTACATGCATACACACCACATTCTGCTACACTACGAAGTCAAGATATGAATCAATTTATCTTATTTTAATTCGCAAACGAAATAAGAAACATACTATAGTAAAAGTAAAAAAAAGAGAAAAAATAACAAAGTCAATGTCGGGTCAAAATTAATTTAAGCCTACATTTGTTTAAGAAAAAACAATATATTGATGTTGAGGCTATGTGATTTATAAGTAAATAAAATAGTTCAAGTGAAGTAATAAAATTATTTAAGAAGAAGTCAAAAATGTGTTAAATATCAAAACTTTGTATTTTTGTAGTGATATACAAACTTTGGACATGTGTAGTCTGAATTTAAGTGGAGGGCTAAGAGCGTCCTGAAACAGAGTGCATTTTTATAACCTACATCACTATAGTATTATGAGTTTGTGCTGAGGTTTGTAAAATATTGGTCTTACACCTACCTTAATGTATACTAATAGGCTTAGAATCACTTTCTGAGTCGATTAAGCTATGTCTGTTTGTCCGTTCGTCTGTGTGTCCTTGTGCCTATGCGCATGCTACAGGTCGCAATTTTCAAAATAATTTGATGAACTTTAGTCAAAGCATATTGATAATGGTTAAAGTATCTGTACAAAGATCGCCACAATTTAGTTTTGTCTAAATGTTACTACCGATTATCGAAATGATCGAGCCTCATTTAACTCTAGTCTCCATACAAAGTCGCCTTCAGAAAATTAATGAAACTTAAATTCCTCTACGAACATTTGTATGGATAGGCCCATATTTACCATAGAATTTTAACCGGTGGTATTAAGTGATTTTCAGAAGTTAACCTTACATATATGGGAGATATGACTAATAATGGAGCGATATAGAAAAAATACGGTACTCTGTTTCGTTATACACCAAACTTATTCAAGTTTAATTTTTATTCCGATAACTTTTATTGTCAATGAAATTGTGCATTTAGGGAAATGATCCTTATATGGGAGTTGTGACCAATTATGGACCGAACCGAGAAAAATTTCGCATAATGATTTATATATAAAAAAACATATTCACGTCAAATTTTACACCGATAGTTTTATTCGTTAATGAAATATGTGTGTTTAAGTGATTTTCGAAAGTGAGCCTTATGACTAATTGTGGACCGATACAATTCTACGTTGGTAGTATGATTTCTGTTTATATTATATTTATATGTGCAAAATTGGTACCGATATATTTGAGGAAGTTATTAACCATAAATCCATTTCCGGAAATATGTACTTTTGTATGGGGGCTATGGGAAATTTTGGATCGATTGTTATGATTTTGAACATAATTGATCCCTGGGTAAAAAAAAAATAAGGTGTGACAAAATTCATTAAATTATCTTTTGTAGTTTCTGAGAAAAATACTTAAGAGTTACGAAAAAAAACTTTAGTTTTTTGAGGTATTGTGAAATTTTTACTCATAACTTTTAACGTTGTGAACCGATTTTGCTGATTTTTAATACCAAACAATGAATATTTTTGGTGAATTTGGTTGATTCCTTTAGTTTTAACGTGAGCATGTTTTAGGCAGACAGACAGACGGACATATATAAGCCGACTCAAAATTTGATAAGGACCCAGAATATATATACTTTGTTGTCAGATGAATATTTCTTAGTGTTACACACGGAATGACAAACTTATAAATACCCTCTATCACCACTGATGGTGGTGGAGCGTATAAAAAACCATAAAGGCTGAAAGATTTTAAAAAATAAGGCTTATTATACTTCCGTATTTAAACAGGCGAATAACCCAGGAAACGCCAGGTAATAACCAGTACTTACTCAACAACTTACTTCTGAATGACAACTACATACCCTCTGCATTAATCATAAGGAGTCTAGTAATGACTTTCCTATAACCTGATATTGAAGTTCTTATTTATTTGTTACAAACAAAAAAAAAAAAAAAAAACAAGGAAGTGTACCTAAACCCAAAAGAGGTTTAATTACCCAGAAGTGTAATTTTAAATTAGAAACTATTCCATATATTAGATGGATAAGAATTGAGACTTTTGACTTGCAATTGTATTACACAGTGTAATTAAAGAAAAATTAATTAATTAAAAAATCAACAAAAATATTTTTTTTATTTCTATACAACAAGAGAAGAGATAAAAATAATAATTAATCAGAAAATTTAATAGCCCCAGTGAGAACCGAATCCATCAAAGGAGACATGAGCTACAGTAGCAGCTGGAGAATAAGAAATAGCTTGCTTAACGACGGGAGCAGTATGTGAGTATACAACGGGAGCATGAGCAGCATAAGTATTAACAGTGGGTACAGGAGATGAAACTAAAGTCTTGGTGTAGACAGGAGCGGTAGCAGCATAATGGACAGCGGGAGCGGCATAGCTAACAGTTTTAGTTAAAGCAGGAGCAGCATAGGTAACAGTCTTGGCAATAGCTGGAGTATAAACATTATTACTAATGCGGGTATCTACTTTACTGACACTGGAGTAGGGAGTCTGAACCGTTTTTGAATAGGAAGATACAGTGCCGCCAAAGGAACGCACCACATTTTGTTGAGTAGAGGCAACAGCATCCACGGCAGGATTGACATACTTAACTACAGGAGAGGCAGCATAAGTAACGGGAGCTACATAACCGGCGCTAGCAGCAGCCAAAAGAGTGCAGAAGGTAATATATTTGAAAGCCATGCTTAGGTGTTTTAACAGTGATGTTTAATGGATAACTGATATTGAATACTGGATGTAATGGACTTTTTATATGATTTTGTCCTCATATTTGAGAACTGAATTGTTATAATTTTAAATTTAATTTCAGGGTCAATTTTGTAGCTAATTTAATTTTTGTAAATTAAAGCAAAAGCTCTAATTGATATTTGTATCTTTCATATTAACACTTTTTTTACAACACATTTTGTCAACCGGTTTTGAAAACGTTAAATATTGAGGCTTAAACATATTTGTTATGCCTGTACTTAGTATTGAAAAAAAAAACGAATTGTTTGCAGATTATAACTCAAAAAAGTTTCAATTATGTTATCGGCTTTTTTTTTGCACATTATGTCTTTCTTATTCAAATTGTAACCTATTTTATTTGTTTCTTAGCTTTTTTGTTAATGGAGCTCTAGAGTAAAATTAATATCAATTTGCCAAAATTACAAATGAACTCTAAGTAAGTCAAGTCACTTGTAATATTAAGACTCAAAGTATCAAAGTATCTGTAGTTTCAAAATATACATACGAACATTTTTTTATTAAATACTCTTTATCTTCCTGCACTGAATATTCAATTTCCATTACAAGGTTGTATATGAATGGAGGGTATCTAAAGTTTTTAAAAAGTTTTGCTTTTCTGTTTTCTTTTTTTTTTGAAAATCTAATAAATATTCATCATCGCCCATGAAAAGAAAAAAAAACAACAAATAATATTATAAAACAAAAATTTACCATTTGCCAAAATGTAGAGCAACTACAAAACCATTCTATAGATACAATACATTCATGCAACATACATACACATATTTAGATATGTATATGTTTGAATGAATATATTTGCCAAACTTTTAAGAATCATAATAAAAAAGTTTTTTTTTCTGCTTGCACCCCACAGGGTTTTCATTCTAGCAATTGTCATCTTACCTTTCGAAGAGGGTGCGATTATTTTTCTAAATATTTGTTTTGTTTCTCATCATAATTTATGTTTTTATAACAACATATTTTCCACTTGAATTGAAATAAATTAAGTGGAAAATATGAATGTCGAAGTTTTGTTTTTGTAAGAAGTTTTTCTTCCAAACAAATTTTTGTTAAAAGTTTAACAATATTTTTTTATATATTTAAACTAGAACCAATGACTGATACTTTTGGAACTACGTTCGGTGAACCAAATTATCTTTGGAGCTAGGGAACAATTCCCTCCATTTATATTAGTTAGTTGGTTAGTTAGGTTAGTTAGTTAGTTAGTTAGTTAGTTAGTTAGTTAGTTGTAGTTGTTAGTTAGTATTAGTTAGTAGTTAGTCATTAGTTAGTTAGTTAGTTAGTTAGTTAGTTAGTGTTTAGTTAGTTAGTTAGTTAGTTAGTTAGTTAGTTGTTAGTTTAGTAGTTAGTTAGTTAGTTAGTTAGTTATTGAGTTAGTTAGTTAGTTTAGTTAGTTAGTTAGTTAGTTTTAGTTAGTTATTAGTTCGTTAGTTAGTTCGTCGTTCGTTCGTTTTCGTTAGTTAGTTCGTTCGTTGTTGTTAGTTCGTTAGTTCGTTAGTTAGTTCGTTCGTTCGTTAGTCGTTGTTCGTTCGTTCGTTCGTCAGTTAGTCGTTAGTCAGTGTCAGTCAGTTAGTCCGTTAGTCAGTCAGTTAGTAGTAGTAGTTGTTAGTTAGTTAGTTGTTAGTTATTCGTTAGTTTAGTTGTTAGTTCTTCGTTTAGTTAGTTAGTTAGTTAGTTAGTTAGTTAGTAGTAGTTTTTTCGTTCGTTCGTTCGTTCGTTCGTTAGTGTCGTTCGTTCGTTCGTTCGTTGTTCGTTCGTTCGTTAGTTTGTTCGTTCGTTCGTTCGTTCGTTGTTCGTTGTTCGTTTCGTTCGTTCGTTCTTCGTTTCGTTCGTTCGTTAGTTCGTTCGTTCGTTCGTTCGTTCGTTCGTAGTTAGTTCGTTCGTTTCGTTAGTTCGTTTAGTTATTTGACATTAGTTTAAACATTTGGGTAATAAATCGATGGATTAGCAATAGAGGGCGCGGCATTTCCCATATGCACTAAATACAAATATTGGTATTTTTAGGAAACCATTGGAGATACAATCCTCACAATTTGAACGGGAAACATTGATATCTATAGCAAAAATTTAGGGAAAACTTGGCAGGGACTAGCAATATGCGGCGTGGCAGCCATCCTAGTTAAATACAAAAATGCATATACATATCTGGGTAACTATTACAGGTAGAATACTCGAAATGTTCAATAACAACTTTGATATCTATGTGAATATTTGGGTAATAAATTGGGTATGTCACTTCCCATATGAATTAATAGAGCCTAATATATAAACATTTGTATATAGAACTTTTGAGTTCAAGGTCTTATAAACTCAATTTCTGATATCATGTTCTGATGTGAAGTATATCCCAGAGAAAGTATTCTGCATAGATCGAAACAAATAGTGGTCGGAGAGAACAAGGTATGAGCTATAAAGCAGATGAGTTAAAACTGCATAGGCACATTTTTCTAAATAATTGGATAGAATATTAATTAACAATACTAAATCCAAAACATTTCGAGTAACATTGGGTAACGGTAACAATTCTGAGTGAATGAGAACCAAAATACTTTGAAGATAATATATTATTTTTTATAGTATTGAGCGCCTATATTTGAACTTAATTATGTATGAAAGAATTTTAAAATATCCTTCTAAATTCATCAAGTAGTTCTCAATTACTTCCCAAAAAAATTACTAAAATATTTTAAATTTATAGTTTATATTTTTGTATAATAAATGTATTTATTTTTTAATAACAAACATTTCAACAATCAACAAAGTATTAACAAATATTAACACCTAAATATACTATTTAGAAACCCCAGTGAGTACCGAAACCATCGAAACTCATGTGAGAAACAGTTTCAGCAGGAGAGTAATGTACAGTTTGACTAGTACCATAACCAGAAACTCCAGGAGCATTGTGAGTGTAAGTGGTAGCAGCTGGTCCATGATTGTATGTGGTAGTAGCAGTAGGAGCAGCATAGGTAACAGTTTTAGTCAAAGCTGGTTTAGCGTATACCAAAGGAGATTCGTGAGAGTAGACGGTTTTAGTAACAGCAGGAGCAGCATGAGTGTAAACTGTGGGCGCAGCAACATGACTATAAACAGTGGGAGTTACAACAGTTTTGGTAACAGCAGGAGCGGCATAAGTTACACTAGGAGCAGCATAGGTAACTGTCTTGGCGACAGCTGGAGTGTAGACATTATTATTGATGCGCGTATCAACTTTACGAACACTAGAATAGGGAGTATCCACCGATTTGGAGTAAGAAGAAACGGTACCACCAAAAGAACGCACTACATTTTGTTGAGTAGTAGCTACAGCATCTACAGCAGGATTGACATATTTTACAACGGGAGCTGCAGCATAAGTTACAGGTGATATATAACCAGCATTAGCAGCAGCCAAAAGAGCGCAGAAGGTAATGAATTTGAAAGCCATTTATTTTGGAGAAGTTTATTGGTTGTTGATTGTTGAGTAATTGATCGTCAACTGATACTGTTATTGGATAATTGTTTGGTATTTATACATAAAAAAATATCATTTCCCTAAACTTTAATCTTAAATTATTTGCTACGAATCGAACAAATAGATTTTTAAATAACTATAACAAAACTATTCGACCCAATGTATTTATTTTCAGTTAAAGTACTTATTTTTTAAACAAAGTATATAAGTACTCTCGATTATTCCAAACAGTATCAGTTGACGATCAATTACTCAACAATCAACAACCAGCATTTGTTCAAAACTAGTTGCTTAATAGAAATCAATAAAATGGCTTTCAAATTCATTACATTCTGCGCTCTTTTGGCTGCTGCTAATGCTGGTTATGTATCACCTGTAACTTATGCTGCCGCTCCCGTTGTGAAATATGTCAATCCTGCTGTAGATGCTGTAGCTACTACTCAACAAAATATAGTGCGTTCTTTTGGTGGCACCGTTTCTTCTTACTCTAAATCGGTGGATACTCCTTATTCCAGTGTTCGTAAAGTTGATACCCGTATCAATAATAATGTCTATACTCCAGCTGTTGCAAAGACTGTTACCTATGCTGCTCCCACTGTAACTTATGCAACTCCCGCTGTTACCAAAACTGTTTATGCTGCCCATGCTACACCTGTAGTAGCCAAAACGGTGGCCTACTCTGCTCCTACAGTTTACAACCCATGCTGCTCCTGCTGTTACTAAAACCGTCTACTCCCACGAATCTCCTTTGGTATACGCTAAGCCAGCTTTGACTAAAACTGTTACCTATGCTGCTCCTACTGCTACTACCTCATACAATCATGGACCAGCTGCTACCACTTACACTCACAATGCTCCTGGAGTTTCTGGTTATGGTACCAGCCAAACTGTTCATTACTCTCCCGCTGAAACTGTTTCGCACATGAGTTTCGATGGTTTCGGTACTCACTGGGGTTTTTAAATTATAATTAGTATGAATTTTATTTCTTGATACTTTGTTGATTGTTGAAATATTTTAAATGTTTTATTTATAATAAAATAAAAATATCACTCACCTTATTTTATTTATTATTTACCGTGCTCAACAACTCACACTTATTAACAACGAATGACCAAACTAAAGCAATACACGGGCACAACATTTTATATTTTTGCAAACAATTTTCACACACTATTTTCTCTAATTCACACGTTACTTTTTAACAATATTTTTACACACAACGATTAACAAACATTTAAAGTTTATAGTTATGCAAAAATATTAACAATTTATTAACTTTTAATCGGATATATTAATTAATTAAACGACCAATAAACACCAAACAACCGAATACTTGCGAAATTTCTAGAAAACTAAAAGAGAAAACAATACAAGTCAATATTCTATTGTTATTGTTGTTGTTACTGCTGCTGTCATTATTTGATTTGTACTAAATTGTGGGCAAATATGTAATGTGTTTGTTGTTATTTTATTTTGTTGTAGAGAGAAGGATAATAATAAACAGTGCGTAAATAGATTAAGAGCAAGTTGTTAAGGAGATTTATTAGTGAATGTCAAATCGGAAATATTTAGTAAAAAGTCAATAAAGGAATAATGACAGGGTTGGGATTTTGTTTTGTATGTGGTATTTATTAAGGCGAATACAGAAATGTAATATAATTTTAGTTAATTTGAAAAAAGTGAGAAAGATAAAATTACATAATTTAGTTTGAAGAAAAATCAAGTTGTATGAACATTTTTATTTTATATTAGATGTATATAACAAGTAAGTAGTTATGGTCGGACATGGCCGATCATATGATAACCTACATCAGTGATTATGTTAGAAATGTTGATTATTTTTTTTAATAATGGAGTATTTAATTTAATTTTTTACCTTAATTCAGAAATATTTTAATAATTTATTCTCAAAAAAAAAGGAATTTTCTAAATGAGGAGTTATATGGGGGCAGGGGGTTGATTTGGTCCTATCCTTATAAATTTTGGTAGAGGGATTTACGTCTACATTAGTTATTTATGCAGAATATCATCATGATATTAGTGTTTATAAGTAAATGTTTACCCTCAAGTCATTTTCTAAAGGGGAATTTGTATGAAGGGATAGGGTCAAGTGAGGCCCGATCATAATGAAAATCTGCAGTATCATTAAGACTTATATAAAACTAAGTTTTGCCGATTTTCGAATTGATACAAGAATATTTAACATATTTATGAGCTCAAAAGCCCTATTCGGGCGGTACGGTTGTATGGCGGCTATACGAAATAAAGGACCGATTTTAATCATTTTTAATAGGCTTCATATTTAGGTCAAAAGAAGAGTATGTGAAAATTTTCATAAAATTGCGACCTATAGAGTGCGCACAAGGTTTACATGGACACACCGACGGACGGGCATAGGTAAATCGACTCAGAAAGTGATTCTGAGCCGATTGGAATTCTTTAAGGTGGGTGTAGGATCAATATTTTTGGGTGTTACAAACATCAGCACAAACGCATAATACCCTTCTCACTATAGTGGGTATACAAATTAATGTGTGTTTGTACTTTATAGACTACTAAACAGTTTTACCGATTTTTCTGAAATTTTCACACTGTTTTCCTGTATGTCTGGAAGGAACTATAGGATACTTTTTATTTTTAAATTTCAAATGTGCAAAGTGCTCTGCCCACATACATAATAAGTATTAAAAGTCGCATATCTCAGAAACTGCAACAACTAGGGTCCTCAGATTTTGTAAGAAATGTATGAATATATGGGGTCAAAATGGGCGGTTTAGTAAAAGTGGGCGTGATACCTCCCATATAAAGAAGGCATTAAATTAGTACAGCTGAGAAAATATAACAGCTAGAGTCTTCCTAATTTTTTGGAGCCACTTTGAGCGGACTAGCAAGAGGAGGCGTGACGCCTCCCATATGAATCAAATAGAAAAATTCGACAATCTGGATAACTATTTGAGCTGGAATCTTTAAATTTTGCACGAAACAATCTAATGTCTATGTAAACTTTTGGGGGAAAAATTCGTTTATTTGGAAAACTATTAGAGCTACAATCTTTAAATTTTGCACGAAGAACTTTGCTATTTATGTGAACATTTCGGCAATAAATTGGTGAACTAGAAATAGGGGGCGTGGCACCTCCCATATGAATTAAATACAAAAGTTAGTTTATCTGGCAAACTATTAGAGCTAGAATCTTAAAATTTTGCAAAAAAGAAATTTAACATAAAAGTGAACCTTTGGGAGTAATCATCAAGGGATCTTAGAACCTCTCATATGTATTAAATACAAAAAATCGTATATCAGAGATACTATTACAGCTAAAATCTACAAATTTTATTCAAAAAACTCAGACATTCATGTGAACATTTGGGTTATAAATTGGCGGACTAGCAATAGGGGGCGTGGTATCCCCCAAATGAATTAATATTAAAATACAAGGTATCTTCTATTATTGTTTTAAATTATACTGGTAACAAAGAAAAACCCGGTTAAAAAACCGAGTGATTCACCCTAATACTAGGGTTCTATAGTTGATATAAAAAGTCGAATTAAAATTTTCGACTTTTCCAATTTTGTCGACTTTTCGACTTTCTCCAACTTTTGCATTTTTTCGATTCTTATTTGCAAAATCGATTCTTCGACTTTTTTTAAAAGATCGTCGACTTTTCGACTTCGTTAGGACAAAAAAGTTGACTTCGTCGACCATTAGAATTAAAATTAAAATATAATGAATCTTCTATTATTATTCTAAATTATACTGGTAACAATTATAGTAGTATTAGGATGACCCTAATACTACGGTTCTATAGTTGAAATAAAAAATCGAATTAAAATTTTCGACTTTTGCAATTTTGCCGACTTTTCGACATTTTCCAACTTTTAAGCTTTTTTCAATTATTCCATTATATGTATTTGCAAAATCGATTCTTCGACTTTTTTCGTTAGAACAAAAATTCTTTGATTATTTTAAAATCGATTTATAGAACAATAGATTGACCCTCATTAAAAACTCTTATACTAAACATTGTACTCCTAATCTGTTTACGCACTCTAAAATATTTTCCCCCACTAACCAACACAGTAAAATAACAACAAACATATGTATGCATACCATTTAGTACAAATCAAATAATGACAGCAGCGGCAACAACAACAACAATAGCAAAAGAATCAATACTTGCATTGTTCTCTTTCAGTTTTCTAGAAATTTCGCAAGTGTTCGGTTGTTTAGTGTTTATTGGTTGTTTAATTAATTAATAAATCCGATTAAAAGTTAATAAATTGTTAATATTTTTGCATAAATATAAAATTTAAATGTTTGTTAATCGTTGTGTGTAAAAATATTGTTAAAAAGTAACGTGTGAATTAGAGAAAATAGTGTGTGAAAATTGTTTGCAAAAATATAAAATGTTGTGCCCGTGTGTTGCTTTAGTTTGGCCATTCGTTGTTAATAAATATTCATGTTTATGGTTGTGCGGGGAGGGGAATGTATTAAATGCAACAGTTGGTATATGGAGAAGAGAATAAAGGTTTGTGTGAAGCAAAGAAGAGTCAAAAAGCTTTTTATAAGTGTAGTAAAGGAAATGAGGAAATAAAAGAAAATATAATAAGCAATAAGCTTTCAAATGTAGTGAAGGAAGTGATGTTGATCTTTTAAAGAAAAAAAGCTAAAATAATAAGAAAATAAAAAAAGTTGTTAAGATTAATTAATGAGCATATTAAAAAGCTGAGAAAAATAGAAAATAAATATAAAAAGCAAATGAAAAATCTGTAAATAAGCAAAAAATATAAAGAAAATAAATCTGAAAGCAAATTGAAAATTTGTAAAAAAAAGTGTAATGGAAGTTGTTTGCGGAAGGGAAACAAGGAAAAACGGAGGCGTTAAATAAGGTAAGTGCTTATATTATTATAATACATATAAAGCTTTTTAAAGGGTATATTGCCTTTTAAAGTTCTGCCCCAAGTAATGTCGATAATTTGTCAAAGTCTATGTATACGACAACCTTCCCAAAATTGATTTTCTCTTAGGGAATTTGATAGAGAGATTTCGGTTGATGTAAAACTTCATAAATATACTAATATTTTTAAACCAATCATTTTCCATAGGGGACCTTATATGAACCTTATGCCGATAGTTTCGATTTTAATTCCAAATAAACTGCACGACTAGAGAATATTTTTGGAAAATTTCAATACGCCAGTTTCTATTACACTGTTAGCATAAAGACGGACTGGCATAATTGCAATACAAACTAAAAAGGATCCAGAATATATGTACATATATCCTTTTTTGGCTCTAAGATCTTTATTTCGATGTCTTACAAACGGAATACCGACATGAATCTTTTAAAAAAAGGTATGGTTCGAAGAACTAATTAGATTAAATTTTTTAATTCCATTAATTTTCGTGGGCATCGGATGTAATTAAATCCGCATTTTTAAAATTTATTTGCATATTTTACTTTATTATTAAAAAAATATAAAATATTTCAACAATCAACAAGAAAAATTCATAATTATTAACTAAAGTCTTAAAAACCCCAGTGAGTACCGAAACCATCGAAACTCATGTGCGAGACAGTTTCAGCGGGTGAGTAATGAACAGTTTGGCTGGTACCATAACCAGAAACTCCAGGAGCATTATGAGTGTAAGTGGTAGCAGCAGGTCCATGATTGTATGAGGTAGTAGCAGTAGGAGCAGCATAGGTAACAGTTTTAGCCAATGCTGGCTTAGCGTATACCAAAGGAGATTCGTGGGAGTAGACGGTTTTAGTAACAGCAGGAGCAGCATGGGTGTAAACTGTGGGAGCAGAGTAGGTCACCGTTTTGGCTACTACAGGTGTAGCATGGGCAGCATAAATAGTTTTTGTAACAGCAGGAGCGGCATAAGTTACAGTGGGAGCAGCATAGGTAACAGTCTTGGCGACAGCTGGAGTATAGACATTATTATTGATACGAGTATCAACTTTACGAACACTGGAGTAAGGAGTATCCACCGATTTAGAGTAAGAAGACACAGTGCCACCAAAAGAACGCACTACATTTTGTTGAGTAGTAGCTACAGCATCTACAGCAGGATTGACATATTTCACAACGGGAGCAGTAGCAGCATAAGTTACTGGTGATACATAACCAGCATTAGCAGCAGCCAAAAGAGCGCAGAATGTAATGAATTTGAAAGCCATTTTATTGATTTGTGTTAAGCGAATAGTTTTGAGCAAATGCTGGTTGTTGATTGTTGAGTAATTGATCGTCAACTGATACTGTTTGGAATAATCAAGAGTACTTATATACTTAGTTTAAATATGAAGTACATTAACTGAAAATAAATACATTGGGCCGAATAGTCTTGTTACAGTTATTTAAAAATGTATATGTTCGACTCGAAGCTATCATTTAAGATTAAGGTTTAGGGAAATTTAGGTTTATACATAATATGTTTATGTCTAAATTCATTATAATTAAGCATGTATAGCCGGGTATCAACGACCATATGATACCTTTATCAGTGAGTATTATAATAATGTGCATTGTTTCTTATATCCTCAAAAATTTTGTTAAACGGAGGAGTATGAGTTGAATTTCATAAAATTATCTGGAAAATTGCGACCTGTAGCTAGGGCATAGGGTTTACATGGTCATACAGAAGGACTGACAGACGGACGGACTTCCCACTGTAGTAGTGTAGGGTATAATAAGATAATTGTGAATCGATTTTTATTAACCCATAGTGCCCATTGCAAATGCCTTTTTAACAGTGAGTTGGCTCTCCACTGAAATTAATCCATGCTTAACTTTACGAGAAAAAGATAAATTCATAATATCTACGAAAATTTCGTGTTTAATATGAAATATTATTTAATCATATTCTTTTCTTCTTCTAAAAATGTATGTTTTTAATTTCGTTTTCATAAATTTAAGTGAAATTAAACATAATACTATTAATAAAACGACAACAATTTTTATAAAATTTAAGAAAACTTATAATATAATTCATGAATTATTTTTATAAAATTCTTAAATAAATAAAAAATTTAATTTACTCCTTACTTTACGCGAACTGGGCAAAAGCGATTATAGGACACGTCAGCGGTATATACTGGACACATTGGAATTATCGGACGTGCCTGATCGCATACCAGACACAGAATATGTCGGAAACTTTGAAACGCTGATCCCAGATAGAATGTCTTGGTCAAGCAGAAGACTTGAGCAAATACCAACAGGAATCCGTTGCTATAGAGATGGCTCTAAATTGGGGTTCTATATTGAAGTGCCAGAAACAGAAATGTATAGAAATAAACGGAATGTGTAAGTTGGATTAGAATAAATATGGCGCCCACAGTCCTTAATATATTTACCGACAGTCAGAAGGCAATTAGGGCGATATTAGGTGATAGAATTAAATCTAAGACAGTATTGGATTGTAAGAAAGCTTTAACTGAATACTCTCTTAGAGGTAAGGTTTAAATCATATGGGTACCAGGCCACTCGGAAGTAGTCGGCAACGAAAGGGCATTACATTCGCCCTTTAAAAGGAAAGGGAGTTCGAGGTAGTTAACCTGACGAACGCAAAACTATTCGACGCAACAAAAGCTGAATTCAAAATATGGGTGAGAGAATCCCATAAGGCCTCTTGGAATAATGAAACGGTGGGTAGAACCATATATAACTTATGGAGTGACCCTAATGAGAACTAGACGAGAAATCTCTTCAAAATGAGCAAGTATGATGTTACATATTATCAGTGGGCACACAGGAGGTTCTCGTAATCCTGTGTGTAATCTATACAAAATTGGACGTGCGGATTCAGACGAATGTAGAGCATGTGGAGAAGAAAGTGAAACTCTGGAGTCAGGCATACGTCGAAGTTAGATCCAAGTATCTTGGAAATGATGTTATTCCGGAAATAACATTCCTGACTAACACTGATTTCAAAATTCTTAGAAATTACGTGCAGGAAACTGAGTTTCTGAACATTAAAAAAATTCACAGTGAACAATTTTTTTTTTTTTTTTTTTCATGAAATGAAGCTCACAACAGGCCCGATAGTGGCCTAGGTGTATTTCTTCGGATTTGATCCTCCTATCAACCTAACCTAATAAAAAATTCTTAAATCAAATACAAAAATTCACCTGCTAACTATTCTGTAAACATGACTCAGTAACATTTTAACAATCTTTGATTTTTTCTCTAATTTTTACTTTTCATTCATACACCATATAGCCACCGGGCAATTATGTCAGTCAGTCATTCAGTCACAGCCACTCAATTGATTGATCAAAACATATTAATACTTCGCCCATAAGCAGAACGAATCAATTACTTTGCAAATTATAACAATATACATACATATACATACAACTAAACATGATTATTTTAATTTCAGTAACACATTGTCAAATACGTCTGGACTAACAGAGAGTGTTAGTGGCCTTGTAAAGGTGAGAGAGGGTGTTGCTGCAGATCAGGTATTGAATGAAGGTAAGTAATATAAAAGACACGACAAACAAATTCAACTTAATTTAATAATAATAATAAAGGGTATTTTATCAATATTAAATCTTTTTATTGTTATTGAGTAAACATTTAAATTGATTTTGAACATTGTGATCTATAAACATAATTATTGTTTATTTATAGAATGGAATTAAAGTAAAATATTTTATTGTTAGAAAAAAATTTGGTTAAAAAAAACTAAATACTTTTTGCAATTTTTGAATTAAACTGATTGTATAATTTGTCAAATACAACAACAAATTTATCTAAATATTATTGATTTTTACTTACTTTACAGTTAATAGACAAAATCTGTAAAATTTTAAACACACAAATGTCTGCATGGGTTTCTATCTAAATCCTTTAGCAAATTTTCACAAATAATCAAACTCTTGTTACAGTCTAGCATCCAACCATTCCTTTATATGTACAGAATTTACTTGCAACATGTCCAGCATAATGTCTATGTGTCCAAAACAAATAATCTCTGTGGAGCAATGTAAATTTGATTTATGACTTATTATGTGTCTTATGTCCTTTCATAATTTAATTACATGTTTAGGAAAAACATTTAATATTCACATTTCTGTCTGTCTGTCTCTTTATTTGTTTGTATCTCTGTCTGTATGAAGGTATGAAAATATGCTGCATTTAACTTTTTTTTGTCATTTTCTAAATACAAAAATATTTTTTTTATTGAATTTCAAAGATTGTTCGGCAAATTACACAAAAGACTTGATGTCAAAAATTGTCAAAATATTTTTTTTATGAGATAATTGCAATATATATATTTTTTTAAAGTTCTTAAAACAACAAATAAAATGTCACTAGTCAAAATATTTTAATAATTAAAAAAAAAATTAATTAAAATTTTGTTTGTGTAAAATTTTAATAAACCATTTAACAAATATATACATAAGTGGTAAAGTGGTATAGCGGGTCATGCTGGGCTATATATGTCCAAATTTAAAACTAACCTCTGTAAGTTTCTATTAGCTTCTCAATTATTAACTCGAGAGTTGATAATTACCCAAATTATATTCAGAGGAGAGTACTAAACAAACCCGTAGGAAAATAAATCTCAAACTTCTAAATGTTTAGACCGAATATAATGTAGTTTCATATGAATCAAGAGTTTCAAAAATAGGACACCTGCTATGAACAGAGTAAAACCTGAGCATACCTGTACAAGGAAGGAAAATTCAATAGTACCACTTGTATAAAATACCTTCCATTCATTACCATTAAACCCATAGTTCTCATTCATATGACACACTCCTAGAGAACAACATCCGACACACTCACTTTAGATATAAGGGTTGGTAAGTTCCGCATACCCCTACATTCATCCCGTTTCATATACACCATATACACTTAACACTCATTTCCTCATTTCCAACGCTTAGTACCACATTCACTCCTCTGTGGGTTATCTCGGCAGTCTCGGCAACAGCACCGAACTTACCCCGAATTATATACTTTACCGTGCAACGATCTTTTAAACCATCATTCTCTTCCCACTAATTTGGCTTTAAACCACAGCTACCACGTGCACCCCGAAGGGACCTCTATAATAATCGGGTCAGAGTCCCAAACTTTGGCCAGCGGTCTAAAGTTTCCCGTGGTAACAGATTATGCTTGACTGGTTCGACCCCATTTCAAAACATTCCAAGGAATTTGCCTAGGATACAGTTGATCATCACCAGTTTATAGCCCCGTCCGACTAGAGATACTGGTAACACCCCTTTTCGCCGGGATTGCAATAACACCATGATGAGTGAATTTTATCAAGGTAACATGCCCCCGGGGGAATTAAAAAGCCAAATGGAGTACTATATTTTCCATATTCCATCCTAGAATATCAACGTATAATAGAGTGTTCCGAGGAATAGACCTTTTAAGAATCTCATGTAGGAAAACCTTTTAAACGATGCGTATTAATACGAGCTACAACCATTTACCATCTTGCCAATAACAGATGAATTCCGATCCAAAATAGCTGCACATCTTTTGAGGTCAAGAACGAATTGAGCTAACTTCTCCTCACTATTCTGAAGTAAATAGGGGAAAGTTCTGGATTATCAGGCAGCATACTCTAGGCATTTTTCGGCCCATAATCGCTTCAAATAAATCAATTGCATTCGGTATAGATTCACTATGATGGTCTGGCCAGAACCCTTTGATCACATATGTATAATACAATACCTTAACGTCATGGATATTTGGTGTTGATTCAATTGACTTTACATACGATCTCTTATGCTTCCGATTAAAGTTATAAATAAATTTTTCATCGCAAGTAATGATTCGGAAATTATTTCCTTTTATTTCTATTAAGTTACATTTCGAATGTGCAAAATAGTATTTCAAGGTCTCTTGACTTCAACTCTTATAGTACCCAGTCTCCCTGACTTTAGATAACTCCTGCTTCTCGAAATTATTTTGAGATAGCTGCTTAAGTAGCTCTCACTAATCTTGCAAGAGTTTGAACACAATCTTCATGGAGTAATATCTCAATTTCTTGGTCTTCCAACTGTCGTTGACTGTCCTGACCGATCTTTGTCTTCTTCACATTCACCAATAGCTTCGGCAAGCAATCGATGTAGCACTTTCTTTTAAATTAAAAAAGTAAAGCAAAACTTCCTACATATGATGTATGAGCATGAAATTCGCCAATTTCAAAGCAAAAACGTACGATCTATGTCTCTCCTTCTGTATGTTGAAGCACGGCTTTTAACTCCCACATTAGAGCAGCTA